CTCTTAAATAAATTAGAGTACTAATAATTAAAATACGGTTGAAAAGCCTGCAATTTGCAGATCGTAAGTGCATTGATACTGATGGTAATAATATACCGCTGGTTGATATAATTAAAGCAGTATGAAATAAGGCCAGTTAACTGATATGTGACCCACTTAAACCTAGGGTCAATTAAATTGTGCGGTAAGTGCAATAGAGGAAGCAAGATGAGTTAAAAGGTTAAAGGCACAATGCATGACCTCTAACGATAATCTTAATGAATTTATGGAGGTCAACTCTCGATTAAATTCATTAAGATTTGCTTGGCACAACTCAATGTATTTACAAATTCTAAGGCATTTTTGTTTAGCCACTGGAATGATCAACTTCATTTTCATTTCATCTTTTTCCAGTGATAATCGAGAGAAAACCTTTGCATAACGAAGTAAAATAAATAGCCCCCACCCCCAATATCGAATAATGCTGCCTTCTGAAGTACCACTAGGCTACAACAGGACCAGATGGAATATGGAGTAATGTAGAGGCTATTTAGTAATGAAACACTTTAGTAATAAACCATAGGCTTTGATATATAAGCACCGGTGTTACTAGGACCTGGTGATTAAAAAACATCAACGAACTTATGGCACTTATCATCGAGTTGTCAAAATCGGCAAGAGAGAAAAAAGATTAAGATAACGGGCGGCTTAGAAAGAACTAAAGGAAATTAATAATCCGGAAACGAAACAACCCTGCAGCTTCGATCTTTGCCATATGGGTGTTCTTTCACCAGCCTTTTTATAAAATTTATTGATTTTAGATATACAGGTATTAGAAATTAGTGGACATGCTATTGCTAAGCGAAGACCGATCAGTATAGAAAATCTGATAAGGTTTTATAATACCTTAATCATTAATCCATAAAGAGAAGTAAAAATTCAACATTATTAGGCAGTAATTTAAATAAATGGTGGCTTTGACACAATTTTAGAGGATACAGTTAAGGCGAAAATATGACAAAAATGGATTATAAGGAAAAGAAGCAACTTCGATTGTTCCAAAAAATATTCACCATATATTTCTATTGAAAAGCGAATTAAACTAAACTTATTTTTCGATACGCGTATCTAGGTCTCAACAACCAAGTTTACACTAGAAAATGCGAAAAGGTAACCCCCGTCAATTATTCTTCAAAAGCTTCAATTAAATAAACATTTAAGTTCGTGAATCCGATAAGTTTAAGGACACTTGTGTCATTATGTTTCAAAGAGACTACAACAAAAGTAATTACTAACAAGCGAGATTTGACGCAATAATTAACCAGGTCAAGTTACCTTAAATTGACCTCATTAGTAGGGGATTTTAAATATGCTTTCACAGATGCAGCTCATTTAAACAAAGTTATTTACATTTATGAAATGGCAACTACTCTTAGGACCTAGTACATATTTAAAGAAAAAATCAAGAGACCTAATGCAAACGTTCCTTCCTACTAAAAACGATTTTTAGTAAAATGAAAAATTCACACATTTGATAACAATACCAAAGCCATTTAACTAGTGTTAATTGTTCAGCTCAAATTTATTTCTAATTTTTAGTAAGAAGTGAAGTAAACATAAATTGTAGTAACTATAACAAGCAATAACGATAAATAAATAAATTTATTCAAGAGGTACAGGGCTGAATTAAGACATATTGACAAACTGTTGGCTTAAACATGGGATATTACTACTTTTCAATGAGCTTGAGTCTAAATAGGCCTGATTCTCAAATTGGTCGATTAAAAATGATGCTATTGATATGCATAAATTCGTCTAATTTGGGCGAAAATTAAAATTAACATGCCAGCCATGGTGCGGGATTGGTAGATCTCTAGGAATCAACAATGTCGAGAGTATTACGATAAATGGTAATAATAATAAGTGTAAACGATTTATCGGAAGTTCAGACACACGGGTTATACGAATTGAAAAGAAATATTAGCAAAAGAACTTCGTCAAGGAGATAGTCAATTTTTTTTAAAAAAGTACCGACAGTTTTTCACATTTTTTCTATCCAAGCAATAATTTATCGCCTCAGAATGCCAAATTTTAATAAAATTGAATTTCAAAATATGGCATTTCGGTTGGTAAAGTTTTTATAGAAAAGCGGTTTACTTTAGAAGGAAATGTTAGTGATCATATGCTGAGAAGAATAAGCTCGAAGTGGATAAATGCAAGCCATATTTTGGATGGATGTGAAGCTCCATTAACGTAGGTTCTTGAGCAATCACAAATATTCGTTTAAATATACTGAGGCTTAAAAAACAAAAATAACGTTGTAGCGGTATAGCGGTTCAAATCGAGATGATGCATTTGATTGATCATTTGAATCCATCCCATCCCCCCACCACCACCACCAAAAATAGAGGAGGCCATTTACAGTTGCATCAATTTTTGCAAGGACTTTCCCAATCGATACATGTTTGTCCACTCTCGACTCTAATTTGGATGTTGGGGTACTTGGCTGGTGGCGTAGCTGGCACCTCCAGCAACATTCAGTGACTAGGGCATTGATTCAGTCAAGTTAGGGGAACCTGTAAATTACAAGTTTATCACAAAAGACAGAATTTCTGCTTTCTAACAAGCCGGATCAGTTAGGGCGCTAACAAGTACAAGGTAATAGGGCTGACCACATTATTTCCAATAAAATAGTAAACATTAACTTCGAAATGACTACGGTTTATATTACCTTAATAGAAATAAAAGATAATAAAATTTTCAGAGTTATTTTGGAAACGCATAGAGTCGAAACCAAATCCCCACAACCATATTCAAAGCACATTCTTATTTAAAAGATAATCTATCAATTCCAGATTAACCTTCATTGACCAAAGTCACTTCCACTGTTAGACGACAAACAGCGAGAAAACGCACCATTAGCCGATTAATTACTTAATTAGTTAATTTTCGACTTGATGTAGAGTAAACTAGATTTTGAAAATCTTATGAGCTCTCAAAAAACAGCCAAAGGACCAGTGGATATCGACCAACACTCCAGTCTTCCATACATACAACACATGCAGTAATATGATTGATTAAACAAATTTGTTAATGCCAACTCCTAAGAGATTGCTGAACGCCTTCGTATTACCAAAAAAGAGAGGTTTGAAAGAAAAATAATGAAAAAAGAAAACAGCAACCGCACAGGTTTAAAAAGAAAATAATAGAGAGGCGCATTTTTTTCGACTGGTCTCAAATGAAAAACAAGTTAAAACTATCGAAAACCATCATGGTAATTGCGAGAGAATGATTCGATTATTTCCTTCTAATGGTGAGTTTAAGCAAATTTCTAGGTCGATGGCAAAAAATAATTAACATGACTCCAAAGATGAAGCAGAACTGAATAAGCCAACTTACGTTCAAATTTCACCGAGCTCACCACATTGGTATGCGCGGGTAGGACATAAATAGTCTGCTGTTGTCTCAAGTCCCAAATCCTCACGCTATTATCCGAAGAGGAGGTAGCAGCATGATATCCATTAGCGGCAATATCCACTCCCAGCATCTCTTCCAAGTGACCTTCCAGAAACATGATGCATCTCCCCGTTCTCAAATCCCAAACTCTTCCATAGGAGTCGAGACCTGCAGTAAGTGCCAAGGAACCGTCAGGATGGAATGCAATGTCATAGACTGGTTTAGAATGACCTTCTTGATGTAGGACTTCTGTACAACACTCCAGATCCCATAAACGCCAAGACGAGTCAAAACAAGTTGTAGCGAAAAGGCGACCTGAGGGGTGAAAGGCAACGCGAGAGACGCGGTGATGTCCGTGACCACTTAAATCAGCCACTGCCTCTTCGCTGTCTAGGCTCCAGAGCTTTACGCTACCATCCTGTATACCAAGAGATGAAACACGGTAGTAGCATATTTAGAACTGGTAGTGGGATACAATAAGGCTCGTGAATCCCAAGTTAGATACGGAAAAATTTATTAATTTACAATAAAAAATCGAAAACTAGGTTGCTGACGATCTTTCTGTGACCGCAAGTCCTCAAACTCTAGGAATAGGAAGGAAAAGAGACATTGAGCTCAAATGTCTGTTCTCTATTGAGTAGATGAATAGAATCGGATATGTGATAAATGATTGATTGCATCGAAATTTTGTGAACAGAGTACAGAGGACTATGGAAAGAGCTACATATTTTACCTTTGAGGTGATGTAAGAGGAGTAGGTATTAATGCAAATCAAGGAACTGACATTGATATTTTGAATAGAGTGCATAGGACGACAACTTGTTCTCTTAGAATTCCATTCCTTTTAGCGCCTTAAGGGGATACTGTTAGCTTATTATCGGCCATTGCCCATAAACTCTCAATATATGATTGAATTATTGTTGCACGCATATCATGGACTAGGAAAGATATAACGACTCGATAACCAGAAATATAAGACAAAATCAAAGAATGAGTTTGCCTCAGAGAGGAGAGTTGTTAAAAGTGATATCGTGAATTACCAAATTACTCACCTGAGCAGAACTAGCAAGAGCTATTTTGAGTTCAGATTGAAGACCAGCCTGAGGGTGCCAGGCGACACTGCAAGCTCCAGATCTATGACCACGAAAACTGAGTTTCATTTCAGCGTCAGGCACAGACCAAACGCGACATAATCCACTCATCGAGGAGGTTGCCAACATCTTGTTGTCCGGAGAGAAACGACAACATGTCAGGGGTCGGGTGTCACCAACTTGACTGCACAGTAGTGATGTATTCTACAAGTAAAACAAATAGCTGCGGTATCATTTGCAACTTCGACAAAGTGGATGACAATTGAGAAACCGAATCAATTTGACGCCACTAACTATCTAGGTGTGACCTGAAGGTAGAGATTATCTTGTACTTTGATGCCACCAGCCCATAGCGCGTCAAAGGATAAGTAAAAAGAGAGATTCGAAAATCATTGCCACCTATCCAAGGTCTGGAAAACAGAACAGCGAAGAATGCCGACTAAGTCAGATTGAAAGGATCAAGAATTTCCTCTTGTTAGAATTAAAACCATTCATCAAAACCCAAACATTCTAAAATAATAATAATAAAAAAATAAATCGAAGTTTCAATTATCTCGAATAGATGAAATGATAATAATTAACCAACTGAGGAAAAAATCATCAAAAATAAATGTATAGAAAAAATCATGCGTTTGTTAAGGACGAAAAAAAGATTTTCAATATTTACCGAATCTTTCACGAAGGTGGACAAATCTAAGCTATTTGAATGCCAACTAAAATGATAATTGTGGCAAGAGGACATGCCCTGAGCAGCACCACGAAAAACTCCGCATGAGAGACCAGCAGATTTGAGGAAGAGAATGCCGTGTAGACCTAGAATCAAGTGCCAACTTTGTTGGAGCCATTGTTGTGCAGACGGGTGAATGTTCAAAAAGGTCAGCAAAATTTGTTGGGCAAAGTGTGGTGAATAGAGCACGCTAAGGAATGTGAGAGCAAGAGAGAGGAAAAGGACGGGTGTGAGATGTGCGTGGAAATACAAAGATATTATTATTATATGAGCCACTTTGGCAGGTACGCGCAAGTGTGAATGAGAGTGAAGATGGCCTTTTAGATAAAACGAAACAGTTAGAGAAAAAAAGAGAATCGATAACATCGTATGGACATAACATATAAGGGCTTGAGAATGGACATAGACTCCAAAAAAGGCGCACATGAACGACGAATTAAACAAAGTAAGGAACCCCTCATCCAAGGCAATTATAGCGCCAATATTCAGCAAGTGGGATAAAAACAGTGCACCTCTCAAAGCAGCGTTTTTTTATAATTTAATAAAAAGAATTGAGAGGGAGTAAAAAAGTGAAGTAAGATTTACCCGTAGGACCTTCAAGTACTCCTGATAACGAGCCTTGCGCTGGGGCTCGGGAACGGAGGCGTAGTACTCTCGAGCCTTCGCGAGACGCTGTTTGGCTTTGACAAGAGAGTACTTCGTGATAAACGTGCGAACCTCTATCAATTCCTCTGGCCCTTGATGATACCACACAGTATTGTTCTATCAAGAAAAAACTCAAGGTTAGTAAAGGTCCATCGATGCACATTTTGGAAGCTAATGATAGTTCAAAGCAGAGATCAGAGCGTGGACGGAACATGATAAAACACTAATCACACTGGCTAGATCTGAGCTTTTAAACGATTTAAAGTCACTCACTTGAAGGGGGTGGAATGCAGTCAAAATAAGATTGTCAATTACTCTCTGGCTTTTGTAATCACCGTACCTAATGGTGACTATTTCCATCCCATATACACCTTATAGATTTTTAGCCTTTAATATCAGTTGCTTTATGAACATAAAAACACCTTACTAGAGATCAATTTGGCCATCGTTTCCTACAGTAGCATCAACCAACTGTTTACTGGGTAAAGGGAAGAATCGAACATTAAAAGATGACACTACCAACCTCTCATAATATGTTGTTAAAACAAGGGGTGTGCGATAAACTTACCTCCAAGTGGTGCACCCTGGGCAACATATACTCATACGGCTAAAAAAGTCTATTTACGGGCAGTTGGCTTCTCACTTTAAACTACCATGGCCCCACTGTATGTCATAGTCGACCACTTCCACAGTACTTACCTTACCCTACTCTCTATTATTGTGTCTGTCTCTTTTACATCTGCAAATCACTCTTCGCCCCCCCCCCCCTCTTGAATTTTTCTCACTTTTATATTTCTCCCCTCTGTGAAGTTCGAAGTCAACTATAATGCCAATGATAACTATCAATAAACGCCTGCTATTTGAAATAAATAAATAAATATTGCAAAAGCAAAAAGATATCAGGTGTTAAGAGGATGAATAGCATTGCTGAGCAAACGAAATAGCAAAGTAATCAAGTAAGAAATGCAACAAAGGGTGGCATAGAAGGGAATAAAGAGGTCGGAATAGCAAGAATTTTACCAAATGCGAATACTGGAAAAATTAAATTGGAAGAGAAGAAAGTTGTTTAGTAATATCGAAATGTCCCCCCCCCCCAAAACACACCTCTGCAGTACATATGGAACTAAACTCCATAATATTCAAAACTCACTAGACTAATTGATAATGTCAAATTAATCCATTGTGTCTTCCTATACAGAAACAATTAAGGATTCATTGAAAGTTGGCTTAGCCAAATATTTCACATAATTTATTAATTAATCAGCTCTGAAATGCCCCACTCCAAAAATCGGCAGCTTAACATTTGAATGAGAATTATCAGTTCGTAATCATTTGTAGTTGCAATAAAACCAAAAAAAGAAGTTTTTGCAATATCGGTAGATTTAAAATTTACAAACTCAAATCTAAAAAGCAGTATCGTATGCATTTTTGCCTGAAATTGTGAACTGTTTAACATTTTGCACCATCCCGATTGTGACTTCTTCCAAAAGCGACAAGACAGCAAAATGCACTGAGAATGAGGAAGGGGGTCATGGTGATTAAGAAAACCCCCGACAGTGGCCAAGTCAGAGGTCAATGCTCATCAAATTGATTAGGGAGGACTACGAGCTGTCAATTGTGGTCGAAACGTCAAATTAAATAGTCTTCCCAAGAGTTGGGCATTGGAAGATGATGATTTGAAAAGAAGATCAACATATGATCTGTTTGAGAAAAGGGAAGGAAGTAGATAACCCGAAACCCACCGACCAAATCTCTCTACGTTGAAGTTGAATAGTATACAAATATATATATATATATATGTAATAATTTACGGGCATATCTTTATTCTCTGTGCATATTAAACCTTGCCAAATGCAAAAAGAGTGCTTACGTCTCTGGCGATGAGGTTGGAAGTCCTCGCATCAGCTGAATTCAGAACGGGTCGTTGAGCCGGTCCGCCAGATATGGCCAATAGAAGACGCAGGCGCTCTCGACGATCAGCTGCATCCTCCCCAAATAAGCCTGGAAAGAGAAAATTGAAAGGTGGAATGAAATCAAGTAGCATAGCACCATATGAATTCATGAGAACATTTCTGATTTCCACCACGTGCGTTTATCTTTCAAGAAAAAATCATCATCATCATCGTCATCATCACTAAGGTGAAATATGCTTATGGAGGAATCGAATGAATGGAAAAGCACTGAAAAAACCCACATGAGTCCAGTGTACGCAGGAAGAGAGAAGAGTTTCTGCATCTGAATAATTATTGAAAACAAACAAGCGATTGAATTAACTTAATTAAAAATATTGCTGGTAGCATCCAAAATGCACCGTTAAAATTTACTATTGGAGGAAACTAAAGGTCAAAGAAATTGTAAATCTGAGTGGGATTTGGAAACTGTACGAATTCTTATGATTCTAGAGAACTAGATAGTTGGCGATGAGATTTACCAACCAGATTTGTTAAATCCTATTTTAAAGAGGTCATTGTCGTTGGTTAATATTTGCTCAAGCTAAAAATAGTCTTCGATCAAACTGCAATTTTAATAGACAACGAAATTTCTGTCATTTAATTCGAATACGTGCCAACTTTTCCCCAAATTGACGAAAGATGATTTTGATTTCATCATTAAGAAAATCCCAAATTATTCAGACTATAGACGGTGGGTATGGTGTAAAAAATAGGGAGAAGCGGAAAAGATAGAATACTTGCGGGCTTAGCCACTACAATTAGCAAAGGTTGACAAGGCAGATGCTAGAAAAAATCGATAGAAGTGGCTTACAGATTTAGGAATGAACCACATAGGGGGGGGGGGGGGAGTAGCGAAAATTGATTAAATTAATTAACGAATTGTAATGACGATTAAATGGAGATGGGAAATAGAGTAAATACTGAACCAGGCGATGGACTGCCAACTAATAACCAAATTTGCAATATTGACCGCAGCTCTAAGACGTTTAGGGATAAATTATAGTGCAGTAGTCAAAGTGCCCGTCTGGCAAATCAGAGACTACGACACTACACAACTTAAAGAATTCAGAATGAAAAAGGATCAAGGTTCATGTTTGTCCAATCTCTCTCTCTCTCTCTTCTCGACTTTCAATAATTCTTTGCTGCAATAACCAACTACCTCAACACCCCTTCCCATATTAACGCAATAAATTGCTAATTTCGATATCATGCAAAGTAATGCAAATTCAGACCAAAAAATCGCTTACATATCGGTTCACCAAGCTGCCGCAGATAATATCTGACTTCTTGGTCTTCTGTCGAAACTTGAATCAAGCGAGCCTAAAAAACAATAAACACACATATGAGACTATAAGAAAGCCACTAGAAATCAGTAAAAAAATAAAATTTTTTGGAAAGACAAAAACTCTTCTTGATCTAGACCCAATAAAATAGTCTAGTGCAATGGGTAATAAGACGGGTAGGCTAAATTACTCATTTAATTTAAAGAAAATGAATTACCTTCTTTTTCAATTCAATATGTTCTAGGGCAACAATTTCAGCAGAAGATAGTCCCTTATTTTCCAATGGAAGGTATTGTCCTTCGCCTGAAACAAGGAAAAATCAATCAGTTATAGCCTGTGGGAAAGGACTAAGGCAACGTGACAACGTGGTGGAGTGTATTGAGCAATCGCTCATCTTAGAAAGGATTACCTGACACTAGATAGCGGAAATAAATGCATACACTTAAACATTTAAAAATCGACAAACACACAATGAAATACTCACTAAGTCGAAGAAAAAGCAAATAGAGGCATTAATAACTCTTCTAATATTCCACTAAGTGGGTGGGCGATGATTTCGCTTTCGGTTTGATATTAAGTCTTCCTAGTTCTCTTGTTTTAAAATTTCGATTGTATGAAGGAGAACTAGGAAACAAGCAAGTGCATTCATTGCTACGTTACATCAACAAATCGGGGTGCGCAATAGACATACCTCCATGTGGTGTAGCCTGGGTAACGTATACTTATGCGGCAAAAAAGTCTACTGATCGACAGTTGACTTCTGACTTCAAACTACTATGGCCCGACTATTTGTCATATTCGACCCCTACCCTTTTATGCCTTTGTGTCTGTCTGTCTGTCTCTTTTACCTCTGTGCATCACTCTTCTGTTCCCCCCACTCGACTTTTAGTCACTTTGATGTTCCTTCTCCTCTCTCTGTGAAGCCCCGAAGATAGCTCCAGGGCTAATGATAACTATCAAAACGCCTGCCATTTGATATAAATAAATAAATAAACACCAAAAAATTGACTCGCATTTCATCTAAACTACATCCAAAAAAAGAATACGCGCGAAAATGCTGTCAATGGTTTCCCAAAAAAAGAGAAAGCAATGGTTCAGAACTACCGATGAGATTGCCTGGACTCAGACAAGGACTTGCAATGCTCGATTTCCAGTCACTTCAAGACAAAAGCAACCGAAACAGCAAACAAAGAAG